AAGTATTTTGTCATCACAGAAATAATTCATTTTGGTTGACTTACTTTAAGAACTATTTTTAGCTTCTCTTGTCACCACTGTAAGTCATTTTAAACTTTGTTATTTTACCCAGATCATAAATTTGTTTTAAAAATCATCAGATTCAACTGTTATTAAGTTTGGTGTGAGATGAGGTAGAGCCCTAAGTCTGCAATTAACTTGACACTAATGAACTTCATTCTATCCATCCATAAGGTTGGAAAGTTCTTCTCACTGCATCCAATGTCTCTCCCAGCCTGAAAATCCCAGAATTTGATATTCACTGAAATATTCATTGTCGTCCATCCCATCATCTGACATCCTTTGGTGCCAGGTGCAGCTCAGAATTCAAAAAGGTTTGAACTTTGGACTTATTATGAGTCCAATGGGATCTGAGGCTTAAATCACACATTTCTGAGGTGAAATGTATGAATATTCACATGTATGAAGACAGTAAATAGCCTCATGTCAGTTCAGGTCAGGTTTTGCTGCCCAACTAGTCATAAAAAAGTCATTTGGCTCTAAACTGTATGGCTCTCAGAACTGCAGATAGAAGATCTTGGATGCACTAGATGGTTGATTTGTATCATGAATAGTTATTGCTAAAGAAAGTTTATTTGAACACTCAGCAAAAATCTGGTCTGTCACAAAAGGTTTACAAGTCACTGTAGTAACTAAAACACTACAACTCCCTTGACTGAGGAATGGTCTTCCTGATTATGTGAGGGACATTTTCTTTGACTAAGCCTTGGGGAGGGAAGAAGGAACACTGAGAATCAGTCTAGGCCTTACTGATTCCTGTTGATATGCACATGACCCATCTCTAAGCTGATCCACCCTGCATCTAAAGTAAGGTTAATAGCTTTCACTGGAAGTCAAATGTCTTAATTCAAACTTGACTACAAAGTTGTAAGAGAACTGATTAACAGTGTCTCTCTTTAATACAGCTTAGTTTTTTTGTTTCTGATTGTTTTGTTTTGAGACAGGGTTTCACTACAACGGACCTCAAGTTCACAATTCTCCTGCCTCAGCTTCCCAAGTCCTGCGATTATAGGCACGCACCCCACACCTGGCTAAACTTAGTATTTCTCCTAGTTCATTTAAAACTGCTCTACTACAGGGTGCTGGTGGCTCATGCCTGTAATCCTGCCTACTTGGGAGGCTGACATTAGGAGGATGGAGGTGCAAGGGCAGCCCAGGCAAAAAGTTTGCGAGACCCCCATCTCCAAAATAACCACAGCAAAATGGACTAGAGGGGTGGCTCCAGTGGTAGTGCACCTGCTTTGCAAGAATGAAGCCTGGAGCACAAACCCCAGTCCCACCAAAAAAACCCAAAAAACCGTCCATCTCTCTTGATGATGAACAATTAATAGAAATTAGAAGATGCGAATGTACACAGATTTTACATTTAAAAGCTTGGAAGTTGCCAGACCATGTTGCAGATAGGAGGAACAGTAGAAGTCTTTACAGATAGCATACTGTATCTTTATAAAGTCTTGGATTTCCAAATGCTAATAGTAGAGAGTTTCTAAATTTTAACTAACATTTTGAAACTTAAGGAACACAGAAAATTATCAGTACCATGTCATACAGATTGGGATGTGATCATAAATCACTTGTTAAATTTGTTTAGAAAGCCATTTGGCTAAAATGAGAAGTCACTATTTCCATGGAAATGAACTTGAGAGTCTTTGTGACACAAACAGAAAAAATATGGAAAAAGCTTGCATATGTCAATAGGTTCTTCTAAAAACAAAACCATCCATACCTGCAACTTTATGTCCAAACTGAGAGCAGGGAGGTTCTAACACTGCTTTGCCTGAATCTGCTTCTTTCAAATGCACTTCGTTTCCATTTTTGGGGCAAAACACAGGTAGAGTACAAGGTCAAGATGTCTTTCAGGGTGGGACAAAGTACCCCACAGGTCTTTTGGCCCCTCTGCCTTCTCCCTTCTGTTCTTTTTCTCACTGTCTCTTCTTCCCTATTCTTTAACCCATACTCTGCAATACTCGGAGGATCAAGGGTCTGTAATTGCCTGGCTGAAAGGGAAGCTGGGCCAAAAAACTGTTTACATGTGGGTTACTTCTAATCTCCTCAAATCCTACAGATTTTAGTTCCTTATTTGTGCTGCCTCTCCTGCCTCAATGTGGTGTTGGGGCATAACTTTGTGTGTTCTTGAGAGGTTGACCTTGTCACAAGGTTGTCTGGACAGCTGGCTGGCCTCAGAGGTCACAACAGGAGGCCTATTCTGAACACTGTCCTGGTCTGAGCTGTACAAAGTGGTTTCTGAATCCAACAACCTCCTTCCTGGCTTCTGCATGAGGATGACATCAAGACCTGGATGAGGGCAACATATAGCAGGCTTCCCCAACACTGCCCTGTCCACATAGGCTCAAGAACTCCCTGAGTTCAAGGGTCAGGTAGGCTGGATTTGGTTGTTACCAGTATTTCAACCAGGAGCCTTCTGTTCTTTTGACTCTAGATGTTTATTCTATTTCTCCACTGAAAGCTAGAAAGAATGCCAATATGTCTTTTGAAGTTTGGCAGTATACAGCAAGTTTCTATAACTGCCACCGAAAGTGTGTCAACTCAGGCATCTGGGGGTAGAGGATGAGGAGATTTTGGTGGGTGCTAATTTCTTTTTTTTAATAATATTTTAATGATTTAAAAAAACACAACATATTAAGCCCATGGTTTCACAGATATTATTTATCATAAGGAATTTTTTCAAAGATACATTAAAATCAAAGTAAAATATTAAGTAAACAAGAGTATTAGCAATGAACAGCAATTCTAAAAAGTAAGATGATGATGACAATCAGCTGAGCAGTGCCCTCTCCACTCTCCTGGGAGCTCCTTCCTAACTACACCCCTCTCATGACTCCCTTAGGCTTGAAGGAGAAGATTATATAACCCACTCTTTAAAAGCAGGTCCTCTCTTGCCCCAGAATATAGTACAATATAGTCTACAGACCCATTAGTCATCCATCTAGCATGCACGCCAATCCCTCCCTGATAAACTAAGTCCTGGTGTTGCAGGGTGTCACATCCAACAGAATGTGTGGGCTTGTCTTGGGCTCCACCTGCCCATGTGTGCTACCCAGTTCTGCGTTGATCCTGCCAAGGGGTGTGTGTGGGAATCTGTTGAGAAAGATACAAGATAGAAGACATCCCTGACTGTCTTCCTTTGACTCCAGGGACAGGAGGTGGCCATGGGGTTGACTGTGAGTAATCAGTACAAACCTCTTGTTATATAGTTGCTCATTAAGAGCCAGCTCCTAAACTTTGAGAGTCAGAGTCAACTAGTATCAGGTAGGAAAGTATAATAGAGCAAGTTAATAATGGCTCTGTCCTGATTCCCATGCTTTAAAATTTATACCTCAATTATGTGATACAATTTTTGGATGAGTTGGAGAAGTGACTGCTAAAAAGAAGTCATTATTTCAAATTGATGCTCCCCAACATTTACCCAGTATATGGTCAATAATCCCATCTCGAGTGTTAGCTCATCAGTTATCTAGGCACTGTTTTTTATACTACGTGTCTTGTACTACAGTTTTTGTATCAAATACTTTATTCACTTATTTATTTTTCAGCAATACTGGGGTTTGAACTCAGGGCCTTTGTTTGCTAGGCAGGCATCTCTACCACTTGAGCCACACCCAGTCCTGGTACTTTCTACCGAAATAGTTACATAAAGAAGCTGGCCTCTGAGTAGCAACAGAACATCTGGGGCAGAACTGCCCTCGGCTCACATAGGGGACTTAAATGAAGAAGGGCCAGTGATAATAACTCCCCTCTAGACCTCTAAGGACTGTGGGTCTCATGTCACAGAGTCCTCTCTAGGAAGCCTCTCAGGAGATTTCTCTCTGATCTCAGAACCAGGAATGACTTCCTGTCACTTGAATGATGGGTAAGTTTTGATCTGTGGACCCTATGACACATGGCACTGAAAGTCATTCCCTCAGGACTGGCCACAGAGCCTTGAGCCAGGTCTGGAGCCCACCTGTGTTTAGACACTTTGTCTTACCTTTCCTATTTACATTTCTGCTTTAGTCTCTCAGACACTTAAATTCATCATCTGTAAAAATATTATAGCTTATTCTAATAATTTAAAAGATGTACCTAGGCCTCTTTGTATCCTACATGTGTGTACTCTGTGTGATCACAGCTCATATTTAGTGAGTGTTGACTATGCACAATGATGGATCCTCAGCACTTTCCAAGTGTATTTCATCTTCAGACAACTCTACACTGGGTGCTAGAATTACCCGCCTCTTTATAGATGAAGAAGTAGAGATCCAGTGGTGTTAAGAAATTTGACCAAGGTCCCAAATCACAAGTTAAAACTTGTATTTGGACCCAGGCACCCTAAATCCAAACCCCTGTTCTTAGCCCCCACTACTACAGTAGCTATTACTCTAAAGCTATTTGTAAAAATTAATTTCTTTGTCCCACTTTTACTATCATTACTTGCTTGTTTACAGAGGCTGGCACCGTCACATTTAGGTTGACCAACTTGTCTAGAATGTCTTAGCTTTACCACTGAAATTCCCATCTCTTGGGAAGCACTCAGCAGCTTTACCATACATTGTTTATCTTTGCTGTACAACCGCTGAAAGATATCTTTTTGTCAATTGGGGAAAAGGGTACCCACTTATTTTTAAAACACTGTTGATTTTTTATTTATGTTTATTCAAACTTCCTCAGATCTTTTATAGAATGAGTACAGAACTTCACCTTATATTTAACTCTCTTAAACAGAAATACAAGCTAGGCATGACGGTACACACCTGTAACTCCAGCACTCAGGAGGCTGAGGCAGGATCATGAGTTCAAGTCCAGCTTGGGCTACATAGTGAAGACCCTGTGTGAACAAAACAAAAACAGAAATACAGAACCTCGTATTGTGTTTAATACTTTCCAAGTTATAGGAATTAATATACATATTATTATATAATATTAATATATATATGTATTACCTTTATATCCTTGTTCTGTCTCCCTGAGATCAATTTTGGTTATTGGTTTGAAATCAGTGTCCCATAACCGTATACAACCATCTCGCCCACCAGTAGCAAAGCCTTCTTCACAAGCATACATGCTGAAGATTCCAGCCTGAGGGTTAAAATAGATAATACTCAATGCCGCGATCATTATAAATAAGCTTTATAGTTCAATCTTTTTTCTTTTTTTTTTTTTTGGTGAGACTGGGGATTGAACTCAGGGCTTCACTTGCAAAGCAGGCACTCTAGCACCTTGAGCCACACCTCCAGTCCATTTTGCTCTGGTTGTTTTGGAGATAGGTCTCAGGAACTATTTGCCCTAGCTGGCTTCAAATTGTGATCCTTCTGATCTCAGCCTCCCAAGTAGTTAAGATTACAGGTAAATAACCCCTAAAGCAAACTAGTTCCAGTGCTCTTTTAACATTTAATTTAATAACAAATTGTAAAAATAAAAAAACAAAAAAATTATTTAGGAGTACTCCGTTAAAGCAGATTGGGAAGTCATAAATTCCTATGTATGACAACTGAGCCTTCTGAGGAAAAGTAAGATAACTATGGAGCTGTTTCATATAAGTTCCTGTTCCAAGTAGTCAAGTAAAGACATCAGGACTAGGAATGTGAACACTTTTACAGATGGGAAGGTGCCAACACATCTCAGTAGCTCAAGAAGTTATCACTGAGCCTAACAGAAAGTGCAGATAGCACTGAGTCAGCTTGATACTAATCATTGAAGATGCTCTTTTCACACTGAAATATTTTCCTGTAAAGAGTATCTTTAAGTTATGAAACTATTTGTCTTGACAAGTGTTACAAACATGTCATGTTGATGTAAGATTCAAGGTAAAGAGAAACTTGATTACTAAGGCAACTGCTTTTATGAATGAGGACAGATGCTGACCTCTTAATTGTTTTAAGAACTGCTTCATAAATTGGTCTTCAACATGGAAGGCAATGCAAGATCTAAGACTTCATAGCTCTCTTACTAAGAGCTGCTTAAGCTTTTTTTCACATACTAAGAGTTACATGGGCTAAGGGAATAGCTTGAGAGCCCTCATATGAGTGAGACTCTGGGTTCAATCCGCAGTGCAGGAAAAGAAGAGAAAGAAAAGAGAAAACAAAATAAAGGAAAGAAAAGGAAGAAAGAAAAGAAAAGAAATGGGGAATCAATTTGGAGACTGTAAGCTAAAGCTCTATTAGATTTCTCAGGATATTTTATCTAATTTCCATTCACCATAGTAGCCTTTACATCATTTGTCTGTCCTGAGCATTTCCATTGCAGGATTTGTAGATATAACAATGTAACCATTTGCATATGAGCCAGAATTGCTGAGTGTTAAAAAGTAAAGTTTGCCTTTGTTTTTACAGAGCAGACCACCAAGACAGAAGGTTATATCAATGGCGTCTGCCTTTGTGGAGCCTGTGACCCAGATGTGGAGGAGACACTCAGGCACCTCAGCACAGAGTGAGGAAAATCGACCTTGCCAACAGTGTAAAAACAATAGTTGTCCACAGCCCTCCTAGTTCAACTTTGGGCCAAGAGCAGCAGCAGAAGCATCCCAGGCCCACTGGGGCCCAATGTGCATGTTAACAAGATCCCAGGAGCTTTGTGGTCATATTACAATTTGAGAAGTGCCAGTCTAAAATGAAACTGATGAAGAAAAAGGTCTAGTCTTCTGTCAAACTATCTTTGATGAGTAACAACACTAATCAGCCAATTAATAGATAAGGTGGAAGCTAATTAACTTAGTATGCTTTTGAAATTTTTTTTTCAGATGAACAAAGATAACTTGGGAAATCTTCATAAGTGTTTTGGGAGTGTTTGTTAAAATCCTCTGATTCTATAGTAAAGGGGGGCAAGAAATAAAGGAAATTGTGACCTTAACTTAGTCAACCCCAAATTCCCATATGATATACTCACACTATGTGCTCCTTGAATGGTGCGGACTAAGGTGAGCCCTTTCCAGACATAGATGTCACCATTTAAAGCACCAGAGTAGGTGATGTCTTCTTTGGCACATGCAAGGCAAAGGATGGTCTGAAGATCCCCTGTTTTGCCAAATATCCCTCTTTTTGCAGTCAGAGCATTTCCACATAGTGTCCAGAACTAGAAAGCGATAAAAAAGATCCAAAAATAGAGCATTCTGATGCATTGCATCATTGGTATTTGGCCGATACATAGTATGTAATAAACATCTTAACTAAGCACAAATAAGTTGTTTTTAGTGACAATAAAGAACTAGAAAACATTTTAGCCTACCTCTGGAATCATGAGAAAAAAACTAAAATGATACTTTTTAAACTTTCACAATTTTGAACTGTCAGAATTTTGCTTAATGTTGAATGGCAATTTAATAGAAAATGCCAATGTTCTTAGAGTTGGAATAAAAAGTGGATGAGTCATGTTTTTGTTTAATTTTTTGACAAATTAAAAGGCTAGTGTAGGTTTAGAGGTTTAGAAATATAGATGACTATAAAAAGGAAAATTGAAATTATAACTTTCTGTTGGCATACTTATATATCATCTAGGCATTTTAATGTACACATACATATATTTAGAAATAACTGCAAACCTGAAGAGTTATAAATCTTTACTTTGGAAATGTTACAAATGTTTCTAAATATGAGTGATATTTTCATACAGACTAAGCTTTTTCATTTCCACACAGTTCATGTGGAAGACCACAAGTGTAAAGCTGAAGCTAGTTAACGATGGCCACAAAGACCCTCCCCCAATTTCATCAAAAACTTACATCTTTTTATATACTTTTTAATGTACATGCTTGTATGACCTCACTGCTAGTTACATACCCCTTCACGGTTTATAAAGGCTCTCTACATGTTATTTGATATTCTTAATACTCTTGAGAACAGGTCAGGACGGATTCTATTCTTATCCTCTTGTAGAAATGAGGGAAAACAGGCACACATGGTTTGCCAAAGGCAGATTTTTATGGGGATTATACATGAGAAACTACTGGAATCTTGACCTTTGCCTTGAGAACTTTATATCGAATAAATATACATAATAAAGATACATATGAAACAACGAACAAGAATTTTAAGGCAGCGTATTCAGATTATACACAACAGGCAAGGAAATTCAAAGCTAGAGAATCAGGTTATATTGAATGGCATGAAAAAGAATAGGATTTGAATCAGTGGAGAGCAGGAAATTGCATCTGGCTCAGAAGAGCAAGATTAGATGACTCTGGTGGCAGGAATGTATGAAGGGAAAAAAAATCACTGACAACCCTGATCTTTTGTGCCTGCAGCAAAAAACTGGTGGACCTCTCAGAGTTGCTGGGTATTGAAGGAAGCAGTGTGGGATGATTGTACCACCAGGATGGTGGGCAGGCGGGGACTCCAGCAGCTGTGGAGGTGGCTGCAGGGCGTTGCTCTGCAGGTCTTTCTTAGCGAGGGTGAGAGGCAAGTGTGCACCACCTGAAGCAATACACGATTCTCCTCTCACAGGGGAAAGTGGCAACTCTGGTGATTTGTTTCTTTGGATATTATTTTTGTTGAAGTATATGTCAAAAGAACAAGAGATTTGGGGAAAAGCTTATTAAGCATAAGCCTGAGAAAACATTTGTTTTAACTCAACTTGAACAAATGATTATTGGTTGCACAAATATGTTGAAGAACTTGCTGTTCGTGGTACACTTAAGGCTGATATTTTTCTTTCTCATTATGTCTCCTCATGCCTGAAGATTAATTAGAGAATGATTATTTGTCCTTTGACTTGGGATGTGTACCTCTGTCCTGAGTCACATATTTCTACATGGACAACCATAAAAAATAGAGAACATTATCCTCAGACTTGATCACACACAGATTTCTGACAAAAAATCACCCTGTCAAATGGTATAATACCCACATAAAATATTTCAAATAATCAGGTGATTCTCCTAGAAAGGATATAGAGATGTGATGCCAGCATAAGGAAATGTTTTTTGCAGAAAATGGTGAGTACTGAAATATTATCTCTTCTTGAGAACCACTTTCTATTTGGAATACAGTAGCATGTTAGGGTAGCAATGTACCACTAAATCCACATTTAAACAGACATTGTTTACCTTCTCCAGTCTCCATTCACAGGCTGTAATGCAAATGGTTTTAGAACTGGCAGGTACCTTGAAGTTCATTTGGTCCTATGGAGTGTCATCATCTGTCTGCGCATCCGTCCATCCCCACCCCCACTCCCAGTCCCTTAAGCCTATGATTAAGACACTGGAGAAGGCTCAACATTATCCACAAACCTATATGCTCATTTGCTGTAAAACCAGTGAAGCTCAGCAGCTGCCATCTTGTAAGCATTCACTTCAGATCAGTGTAATTTGCCTGTTTGCAAAACATTGGAAACTTATGACACTAGAAAGGATTTTACCCTAGCTACAAAAATTTCACTTAAAAAATATTTTGATCAAATGCAAAGACTTTTTTTATTGTTTTATTATTCATATGTGCATACAAGGCTTGGGTCATTTCTCCCCCCTGCCCCCACCCCCTCCCTTACCACCCACTCCACCCCCTCCCTCTCCCCCCCTTCCCCTTAATACCTGGCAGAAACTATTTTGCCCTTATCTCTAATTTTGTTGAAGAGAGAGTATAAGCAATAATAGGAAGGAACAAGGGCTTTTGCTGGTTGAGCTAAGGATAGCTATACAGGGAGTTGACTCACATTGATTTCCTATGCGTGTGTGTTACCTTCTAGGTTAATTCTTTTTGATCTAACCTTTTCTCTAGTTCCTGGTCCCCTTTTCCTATTGGCCTCAGTTGCTTTTAAGGTATCTAAATGCAAAGACTTTTGCATTCAGCTTGTAACTGGAACCACTTGGTGTTAACACAGATTTGGGGAGAATAAAAAGGTGGAGAAATCCTGAAGTCAGATGTAGAAAATATAGGTAGTGAAAATGTTAGGTGACCATTAGGGCAAACTCCTACATTAACAACCTTCAAAGTGTCCTTCCTTTGGTTGCAACTAAAATCTGTTTGGGAAAAGAAGCCATGCAGGCCCAGAAATATTCCTGTTGCCATCTTTCCTTGTTGAACAATGACTTAAACTGAACATGCTCAGTGGCATACATCTTGAATTGAGCATGCTTGGGAATGTGACCACCCCCAAAGTCCTCTCATATAAATATGTATAGGCTCCCTGAATAAAATCCCCATGCCCATTTTGGTAGAGGAGGGTACTGCTTTGGAAATAACTCCCATGCTCTCCTTACCTGCTGCAGGTAATAAGTCTTTCTCCACTCTGACTTTATACTCATCGAGAGGCAAACTCATTGTACTCAGTTATAAAACTAACTAATAAACCTGCTTAAATTTGTTGTGGATTTATTTCTAAACAAAATAAAGGAAGGATAGTTAAGCGGACATTTGCAGATTCTTCCACTTGAGGTAAATATGCTAAGTACACTAAATGTATTAAATATTACTAAATATGCTAAAACTTATAGTTTTAGTATAAGTTTAAGGATAAGCAGCTCAGTGTTATCAAATAAAGTTCTAGGATTTTATACTTCTGTTTTTAGGACTGATTAAAAGTTAGAATTAACCAAGGATGGAAAAAAATAGGGAAAAATCTAGAGAATTATTTCAAATAAACTGCTAATCCAGCTAGAATCTAATGAATGTGTATTTTTTGGAGAAAAGTTAAGCCAAGATAGACTATTAAAGAGAAAACTTCTCAGTGGGAAAAGCTCTACGCAGGGAGCCAGAGGCTGTGTTTATATCTTATGTCTGTCACCACTTTTGTGATGTTAGGAAATGGAAAAAGAAGTTAACATTACTGTACCCCTACTGGTTCCATACACCATTTAATTAACTCTTAATGAATTTAGGAGGTAGTAATCCCTGTTTCCTCAAGGATCAAGTAGAAGATACACAACCAGGGTTCCAAGTCAAATCCCCACCAGCGCTCCACCAGGTCTCAGCTTCCTTGTTGTGGAATATGCAAGTTCGATTAAGGCTCCCCAGACTAGGGTCCCATAATTCCAGAAAGCCACCACAGCCTAATGGAATTTGAGTTTGTCACAACTTCACACATTTCTTTACTTGTGGCTAAAAGAATAACTCAGTACTTCATCATATATTAGTCTGACTAGGAACTCATGTTGCAGATATAAATCTCTGATCCATTTCTTAAAATGCTAAGGCAACTATTATTTAATGCTTGGTTTAAGGTGTTGGTGAGGATGCGGGGAAAAAGGAACCCTCTTACACTGTTGGTGGGAATGTAAACTAGTACAACCACTCTGGAAAAAAATTTGGAGGCTACTTAAAAAGCTAGACATTGATCTACCATTTGATCCAGCAATACCACTCTTGGGGATATACCCAAAAGACTGTGACACAGGTTATTCCAGAGGCACCTGCACACCATGTTTATTGCGGCACTATTCACAATAGCCAAGTTATGGAAACAGCCAAAATGCCCCACCACTCACGAATGGATTAAGAAAATGTGGTATCTATACACAATGGAATTTTATGCAGCCATGAAGAAGAACGAAATGTTATCATTCGCTGGTAAATGGATGGAATTGGAGAACATCATTCTGAGTGAGGTTAGCCTGGCCCAAAAGACCAAAAATTTGTATGTTCTCCCTCATATGTGGACATTAGATCAAGGGCAAACACAACAATGGGATTGGACTATGAGCACATGATAAAAGCAAGAGCACACAAGGGAGGGGTGAGGATAGGTAAGACACCTAAAAAACTAGCTAGCATTTGTTGCCCTTAACGCAGAGAAACTAAAGCAGATACCTTAAAAGCAACTGAGGCCAATAGGAAAAGGGGACCAGGTACTAGAGAAAAGGTGAGATCAAAAAGAATTAACCTAGAAGGTAACACCCATGCACAGGAAATCAATGTGAGTTAATGCCCTGTATAGCTATCTTTATCTCAACCAGCAAAAACCCTTGTTCCTTCCTATTATTGCTTATACTCTCTCTACAACAAAATTAGAAATAAGGGCAAAATAGTTTCTGCTGGGTATTGAGGGGGTGGGGGGGAGAGGGAGGGGGCGGAGTGGGTGGTAAGGGGGGGGGGGAGAAATGACCCAAGCCTTGTATGCACATAAGAATAATAAAATTTAAA